TGAAATCCAACTCAGTTTAAGGTTTTCATTGCAGACTGCACACTTCAGTATTTTAGTATATTAAGGGCCATTGAGATCCGCACTTTTTTTTTTTGCACTTAAAACAAGAAATTCAACAGTGAACTTTATGTAAATCCATGCATAAAGCCAGATTATTAACACTTAGTCCGTGAATAGCTACTTTCTACAAACTCAAAAAATATAGAAAACTCCACAGATTATATTAATTCGTTTCATTTGTCAACGTAAAAAAAAAAGTGCATTTTAATTAGGAGATCAGTATGCATATTCTAAAATGCGGAGCAAACGTGGGAACTCTAAACTATAGAATAAACTCTCAAAATAAATAAGTTATACGAGCAGTGTGAGGTCTACGCGTTTACATATTTCTATAAAACCGAAGAACAAAGTGATGACTAAAGATGCATTACTTATCATTTTTTGCAAAAGATCTAATCAACTTAAGCTGACTGCCGTGCTGATGCCAACTCTATAAGACAGTTTTAAAGCACGAGAGTTTGAGAGGAGCCTTACCTGCTCACTTTGAGCGCTGCTTGACAAGCTTTGCGCGAGATGCGGAACTCTCAGTCACTCACGCGCGACCCGTCCACTCCGCCGAGGGGGGGGGCGCGTGCAGTATTAGTGGATGCATGCCTCTTTACGCGGGTAAACACTGTCATATGTGTCTGTAGTGTTTTTTAATCACTGTTTTATATATGTAGTAGTGTGTCCTCACTTCGCGTTGTGGTAGTTTAATGTCGAGAAAGGTTTACATCACTTTAACCCCCCCCCCGGTAATGCAGTAGACGCTTCGAAAGGAAGGTTTTGTCATGCAGAATATGCAACGTGAAATCATCCATTTCAAAGTGCAGCGGGTTAAGGGTGAGGGTTATGCAATCGTTTGGATGGCACAACGTGTCTTCACGTCCCTGCAGACTTTCCTCGGTCGTTTAGGAGTCTAGGTTGCAAAAATATAACAAGGTGAAACAAAATGTTTTCTTATAAATTCCCAACAAGGTTAATATCTCATCTAAACACTCTATTATGTCACAGAATTAGAAAATTATTATAGTTATTTTTGTTTGTTTAATTGCATATGTGAAGTCTGATGTGTGCACGCCCACTTGTTTCCAAAAAAGCCAACTATGTGCTTGAATGCTTTACTTTTTTTTTTATTATTAAACACTTTGTGTTTATTTTTGTTATTAGTCAACTTAATTGATTAAAGAACTGCTGATCAAACTGAACAAATACGGATTAAAGTTTTAAAGGGATAGTTCACCCAAAAATGAAAATGTGATGTTTATCTGCTTACCCCCAGGGCATCCAAGATGTAGGTGACTTTGTTTCTTCAGTAGAACACAAATTATGATTTTTAACTTTAACCACTGCAGTCTGTCAGTCTTATAATGCATGGCAATGGTAACAAAATCTATGAGAGTACAAAAAACATGCACAGACAAATCCAAATTAAACTCTGCAGCTCGTGACGACACATTGATGTCCTAAGACACGAAACGATCGCTTTGTGCGAGAAACCCAACAGTATTTATATCATTTTTTACCTCTAATACACCACTATGTCCAACTGTCTACTCCAAGGTGTGTACGCGCTCTGGCGTAGTTTATGTTAATGTGTGTGTTGATATCCAGCCGAAGAGCAATCAACCATAACTTCAGGTGAGCAGGCTCAGAAGCTGGGAATACTTGGAAAGTCACCACTCCCGAATGAGTTCGCGCGAGAGAACGTAATCTTTTAGTTTTAAGCCGGTTTGAACAATCCGGATAAGCGTAAGCAAGTACCATTTTGATTAGCCGTCGTACCTACAATGACTGTGCACTGTGTAAACAATGAGTGACGTATACGCGCGAGAGATCACTTGCGTAAACTACGCCAGAGCGCGTACACACCTCTTTTATAAAGAATATCTCTTTGGATTTGAGACTTTAGTCTGTGCAACTTTACAGATCTTCTTTATGCACCAAGAGCTTGTAACACTCCAAAGAGAAAGAAACAATTGAAATCGCATCATACGACCCCTTTAAATTTTTTTGTCAGCGATAGAAATATGCAAGCAAGGTTTAAAAGCAGGATTAGTTTGAAAATGTTTAATAGTAAATAAGACATAATTAGACAAAATTTGACTATAATATTAATAATAACTACTCATGCTAATTATAAATATGTATTTGCAATAACTGATTGAGTACTGAATGCTGCATGCATGTGCAGTGTTGTCACGGTAACATTAAAAATGTAATCACATGTTACTGAATAATGTGGAAAAATCACGGAGGCATATTATTCATCATGCCATTGTTGAGGAAGACATACACTGTTAAAAATGTATTGTAATTTTACAGGAAATTCCTGGCAACTAATTGCTGTGAATTTACAGCAAGTAGTATACTGTTTTTTAATACAATAAAGTACTGTATTTATACAGCAGTGCTACTGTGATTATAGTAGCATTATTACAGTAAAATGCTGGAATTTATTATCATTTACTGTATATTTACTGCAACTCAGTTGCCAGGAATTTCCTGTAATTTTACAGGAGAGAATTACAATTTAATATTGTAATTCAATATATTGTATATATCTTGTTATTTGCTGTACTGTCAGACTCTGTTCGGTCTTTGTGTGAGACGCGGTAACAGTTAGTCCTGAGCGTATATGTAACGTTAGGCAATTTTTCACCTCTCTTCAGGAATAACTGCAGGCGATATTATGCTATATTTTTCATTTAATTTTGGTTCTGGAATATTAGCTCAAGTCTATTTTTGTTTATAATTTGACAAATACATTCCTCAGCTCTTGTAATGTTATTTCAGATAATTTGTATGAAATGAAAACATACTAAGATACTGTGTGTGTGTGTGTGTGTTTGTGCGTGCGCATGCGCGTGTGCGTGTGCGTGTGTGTGTGTCTGAGTGTGTGTGTGTGTGTGTGTGTGTGCGCGTGTGTGTGTG